ATTTAGGAACATTTATGAAATAAGTGGCCTGCCAAATTCAAAACGTCTTATAAACACACAATTTAATTAAAATGGTTCATGGTAACTGATAAAACATTTTTATATTAATATATTTTTGAAGTATAATAAAGAAGGGAAAGAAAAATAAAAAAAATAAAAAATTTGCGAACTGTAGCTCGCGCTACTAAAGCGCGACTAAAGTGCGAAAAAAGCGCGTTAAGTCTACATTGTCGCGCTTGCACTCGAAGTGTACTTTGATACGAAAGTGATTTTGTGACAGATAAATGACCAACGCCTGATTAATTAATGTAGATGAGCGTGTCGTCGCGTGGCGTGGGCAGAAAACAAAGCGAAGAGAATTATCCGAATTAGAGCAGGGAGCTTGTTGCCAATCGCTCTCAAGGATGTTATTTTCTTCGTAGACATTGACACGTAAATTAAAACAACGATTCCGACAATCTGGAAACGTCCTTGATTGTTTTATAATAACGAACGTGACTCCATCAGGTCAAAGTGCTCCTCGATCCTCGATATCGTACTTTGTACTTCGTACCTTGTGGAGGCAATAAAAATAATTGCAGGCAATAAAGGTATCACTTAATTATCGCGCACGTTATTTCAACAATATGTCGGAAATTGAAACGATAAATAATAAAATTCTCGGAATCTTCTCCAAAAAAAACAAACTATTTTTTTATATAATTTTTGTGTTTTAAAGCTAAGAATTTGTGTGATAATTCACCTTACGTTAAAATCTGTCTAATCTTTTCAGTTTCGATTATTTTTAGTACATAGTATAAATTCATCCATTTAGTAAAGGTTTAATAATCTCGATAATAAGTTCAATCACAATGATATACAATGAAATAGACACAATAAATTATTATAGGTATTATATTAGTCATATTTAGGAGTGAAATCGGCTTTCGGAAAAATCGGAAAAGTTATACTGGCAAATAAATAGGTAGGTTACACATTTTTCCCTGGTTAATTATATCATTGTTTAAGTCACAATAAAGATTTTTATCAAGATAGTAAGAAAAAAAAACAAAAATTCGGAAAAGGTTCTATTGCAAATAATTATCAAAGTTTGTATAGCTGTTACTTTCATAATTGTTTTTTTTTTCCAAAACTCTAAACGCAACGATATAATGTTATTACACCGTTGCATTGAGATTCTTTTCTGTGTTTCCTTATCTTAAATCTACTCGAGAGAGTCAGTTTTGTTTCGGTGATTGACATTATGATTTCATAAATCGCATTTCGATCATTTCTATCATTCTTCTACCCTTTTTATTATTATCTATTATTATCTTTATCCATGTTTATTCTCTCCTTCGTATTTATCTTACCACGCTCCAACACTTGTGTAATATCCTTTCTCCCTGTCTTATATCACTGCAAACTTGCTCTCACGATGAAACAAATAGGACAAGTAAACGTCTTCATTTCGCGTTTGATATTAAATATTCGAGTCATCGACAGTCACTTATGACTCTACTTGGGGTTCGGTTGTCCGCGAAGATCAGTAACGCGAAACCGCGAGAGAGATTGATCAAAGGGCCCGATATCGAATATCCAGAGCACGGTTGTCATTCTCCAGCTATGAGAGTTCGGTTTATCCTCTCCCTGTCCGTCGCGCGCGTCCTCGTTTCGCGTTTCCTCGACGCAGCAGCGGTATCGACTGCGAGTTGCTGCTGCTGCTGCTGCTGCTGGTCCAGCGGGAGGATCCCGCGTAGTTTCCGCGACCTCACAATCCTAGATGCGACATGGTACACACTTGAGGGAAGTCACGGCGAATCACGGAGCCAAAAGAGAGACAAGAAAAAAAAGAGAGAGAGGGGGAGAGAGACGTACGTGAGATATTAGAGAGGAGAGCCGAGAGGAGAATCGAGAACGCGCGATTCGGCGCGCGGCTCACTGGGGCGCAGCTCCCATTCCTGGAAATCGATGACTACCAGGGACGAACGCATCCCTACGGCGCGTCCTGACGCAAGAACGAGTCAACGACACGCGGGAAAATTGGATCAACCGATAGCGCGAGATGCCAGGGTTCCAGGTCAGTGGGTCACCGCCGCTGCGCTGCGCGGGAATCGGGATCGAGCCCGAATCGTGCAGAGGCTCTTTCTCCCTCTACGCTCTACAATCGTAAAAACTTGTCTTCGCATCGACCTTATTAACATAAGCGACAACTATCTCCCTTTACTCACGTAAAGACGTCGTTTTTCTCGAAAAGCCTCCCTCCCCTCCCGGCGATCTCAATATACATTCTGCGAAGCCAGAGATCACATAAGTTTCTCCCTGCACATCGAAATAAATTAGATTTCTCGTACGAGAACGCGTTCGCGACATGCGCCGAAATCCGAAATATCCTCGTTTCCTGATTGTCCTTCGATAACAATTCGATCTACGAGTGTCCCAGATGTCCAGTGAAATGAACATTATCTGTAATATTTATTTCACGAATCGATCAAGGGGCTTACAGCTGTTTATTAATTTACAAAATGGCACAGAGAGGGGGAGGGAGAGAGAGAGAGAGTTCTCGACACATTTCATAAATCTATTCTGTCGAATACAATTACGATATTACAAGCACGAATTAAGCTATCAATTTATTTCAATGCACACGAGAGAAAAATATATATATATATATAT